GCCCATATCCCTTTTTATTTTTTTATTAACTCTGTGAGGTTTGGTGAACGAAAATATACTGCGTGGTACACCACCTCAGGGAGTTGGGTAGCTTATTCTAGATAGTTGCATCTCGTTTACGGAAGAGATTTGGACGGATGTACTTGTGCGACTTTGGTATTCATAGAATAATGTGTAAACTAAAGTTCTGTTATTTCACCGTCTGTTGAAGCTTGGGTCAAAACTTGCTGAATGGATAACTTCGTGGATAACATCAACGGGTGCTGATAGGTTTATCTTCAGTCAATGGAGTTACAACGAATCAAAGTTCAGACCCTGAATGCGAGTGAAAAAATGGGGTGATGATCTGTATAAGGATCTGTCTGGTCAGGGAGCGCTGGATCCGCTCAACCGCCTGAGTATTTCCTTGCTTCGCATTACTGTATACTAATGTGAACGGTACTCCATTACTAAGCGGGTATCGATAACATGAAGCAGTTGTTTGGTTAAATCAAGTAGTCTGAGGAACATAACACTGGTTCATAGCATTGACAAAATTGAGCTGGGTGTATTCGAATTTCAGGGTATTTGAGTAATGTAGACCCAAGTCGCGGACCTGGTTACCGTGAGTAAGCGTGGTATGCTAAACATTCCAAGTGAGCGTCTGAAGATCACGTGTGTAAGTATTGTCATGGCATATTCAGCGGAGAGACTCATTTTTGCTCTGGAATCCCAAATTCTAAGTTCATGAAGGTAAGCTTGTATGTTATGGAGTATGAGGTCTTTCTCCCGCACTTCGGCGTTCTGGGGCTGGCCACAGTGACAGGCAAAGGCGGAACCGGATGCCGCCAACCATGTTAAGGAATTCAGCAACCAGATCTACGCAGTTAAAAGTATATGCTGACTTAATGTTCCCAGCGACCAGATAGCGTGAAACGTATTCCAATGCGTCGAGGACATGATTTGTGTATATCAAATTATCATTGGGTCCAGTATATTTCCCAGTATGAGTTCACTGGTTACTCTCCTACTACTGGATAGATTAAAACTAATCATGGTTGCCTGGGTTATATTTTCAAAGCACGACTTGAATCAAGAGCCAGAGTGGTCTTGTATGCTTGGAAGCCGAACTGAATCTATATATTTACTATTAAATTAGGTAGTATGCTTGAGCGGGCATAGTGCACCATGGTACAGTGGTCTAGACTGAGGTCCATGTAAGCAAGAGGCAGATATAACAAGGCTAGAGCTTGAATCAGTAGTGAAAACGTAATGTTTTAGCCTAATTTTTGCACTTCCGTTACCGATTATCTTATACTACTTGCTTGAACTCATGAAGTTTGAAAGCACACCTTCAGCTCGTTCGCGTCTTCCTGGTTTTTTGCTGCTGCTTGCGATTGTACTGTCGCCGCGTGCTTCCAGAGTGGGATGTATGATTTCCAATCGCTAGTCGGCCTCTAACAGATAGTAAGTAATGCATGGGTCATAAGTCCCTTGTGCTTGGTCGTTACTCTACTACGAGTTTTCTCTAAGTGCTTTTTGCCTTAGGACTCGAACGTTTGCGTAACGATCCACTGCCTTGGTGAGCTCGCATTTTCTGAACACGTTATTTTTTTCATTATGTTTGATCAACCTGTTTTTGAACAGTTATCTGAAAATTCCGTTGCACTTTCTTTGCCTCCTTACGATGCGTCAGTTCCATGTGTTCGGTTCATTTAGAGTAAGCTCAGCTTCCATTTTCGTATATGATCACGTCGTACCCTACGATCTCTTCATATCTTACCGCTCATTTGCCTAAACACATGGCTTCAGAAGTCAACAATATTCTAAATCCTGCGCTTACTGGCTCACCTTACGACAAACTTAAAGCAGTTATCATAAAAGGCACTACCCTATTCGAGGAGGCACGCCCCCAAAAGCTACTCACTAGCGTTCATCTTGGTTATCGTACACAGCTCTTTCGACATGTGATTGCTTACCGGTTTAACAATCTTAGAATATCCCTTCACTTGCCAACTTTGGAGTAATTGTCGCTCCGAAAACACGACTGCGATGATAACATTATTGGTTCATGACCTTCTGCCGAATAAGCTGACTGAAGTAACTGATTAATTGTACGAAAGTTTCTTTATAAATGCTGCGAATCTTGTGGTTGAAGCATCCACTGCAAGAGCATTACCAAGTGATACACTGGGCTCCATCACTGAGAGGTACATGCGTTTGGGACTCAGTATTTCTCACTTTAGAGACGGTCGAATAGGAAACCAAAGATCTTCCTCCAGAAGCAGACCACGCAGTAACACCCGCAGACGATCACCACACCGCTACTGCTACTTCCATTACAGCTATTGTGACGCTGCACGTAACTGCCAACCTAGGTGTACCCATCCAAAAGCTTGTGCTAACTATAGCTCAGCTAACGACCAAGCCAACCAATAATGATGACGGATGTCGTTGTTGAGATTATCAGCCACCTCCTGTAATCAGTCGATTCCACGATCAAACTCCAATTTTTGGTTAACACTGGCGAGATAAGCGTTGTGCTCCGCTGCTTGAAAAAGCACTGGCTACAGCCGGCTGGAGTGATACTACATGCTGTTAACCAGACAAAGTTTGCGACTTACGGCCAGAAACTTCTCACGCTCAGTCTTTGACTACGTCGTAGACTTTCTATCAATTTTAGTATCGCCGAGGTACAGAAGCCTATCAGCGTTGTGGTAGGTCGCGTGATGGTACTGCTCCGTTAACTGCCTCCGGTAAGCTTAACTTACTTAATTCCATCGGAGTTCGAGCCTTTCTGCCCGATAGTTCGCAATATTCCGCATTGTAGCAGCATTTTCTATCACTTATCAGAGTAAACAACGACGCGATGGAACCCAAACTCCATGTGCAACATCACATCGTCACAAATGGTCCACCCGTGACTGCGAAACCACGGAGACACACATCTGAAATAACGCAGATTGCTAAGGATGTGTTGGAGCATATCTTTAAGCTAGGGGTCATTCGTCTTTCAGGCAGTTGTCGGTCCACCCCTTTACACTTTGCTATTAAAATGACCGGTGATTGAAACCCATGTGGTGACTACAGAGCATTGAATATCGCCACGGTTCTGACAGATATCCGATCCCTCACATATACAACGTTTTTGGGATTGTCTGTAAACACAATGTTTTTCAACATTGATCTTCTCTGGGCGTAATACCAAATGCCAATGGCCCCGAAATATAATGCATAAACAACAGTGCATATTTGTTTTGGCTTGCACGAGTTCATCCGTACGCTATTCTGACTCCGAAATGTTGCGCAATCAATTCAACGCTTGGTGGACCAACTTATCCGTGTCCTCGGCTTTTTCTTCATTTATATTGATGATGTGTAAGTCGCAATAGCTTCAGCCGATTAACGCTTAACACACCTACGGAAAGTTTTCAGACGTTAAGTCTGACAAATGTGTATTCGACTTAACTTCAATCCACCTTTTATGCCGAAGACTTAACAGCAGTGGCATTAGTCCCCTAAATGAAAAAAGCTCAAGCCATCATAATTTGTCTATCGCATAAATCCGTTAAGAACCCACTCTAATTTCTCGGTGCGGTCAACTATTACGGACCGTTTACAATTGGCTAAGTTGCAACATTTCAGCCTCTAACTTATTTGCTCAAGGGCAATCCCAAACCGTTCACATTTACTCCAGAAGCCGAAGCAACATTTAAGGCAGTCAAACAAAAGCTGAGCCAAGCCGCTTCACTTGCTTACTTAAGAACGTGCGATAACATCCTTCTCAATCTCAAGACAGACGCTTCACAATCCGCGGTTGGTGCCGTATTGCATCAGCTAGTGAGTAACGAAATTCCACCGTTGACTTTTTCTTACAGAAGCTTTAGTCTGTCCATACCGGGTAGAGTACATTCGGTCGTGAGCTCCTCGCCATGTATCTGGTCGTAAAGCATTATTGTCACAAACATGACGGTCGACGATTTGCCACCTTGACACATAATAAGTTCCCTGTGTATGATTTTCGTGCAGTTTCCCATCATTACTACCCTAGTGATACTACCCACCTAGATTAGCTGTACTGCTGTTCTTAACAATCTTGTCGCAGATGCACTATTACTTGCTCATATCCATCCATTCATGCCGGCCCATTGATTTTGAAAAACTGTTTGACTCAGAGTTAACGCAGCTTAGACCGAACGCAACGTTGGAAGCCTTACAGTTACCAGCAAATTGACCAAATCTTGTCTTAGATTTCAAATTAGCAAGGTTTATGGAAGCTGTGTCACAATCGTTAGTAGCTTTTCTCTTCGGAAGCAATATACAAACACGGACACCTTTATGTAGTAGGACCGTTGGCCGCTTCGAACAATTTCGTTTATCATTTGGGTGCGCTGAGCGTTTTACCCGTTTTTCTCCTGCGATTCATTTACGTGGTACTTCCGCTGAAAACGTTGTCCGTGCTTTCACTGAATTGTTGATTTCATTGTTTGGTGCTCCAGCCACTATCACCACTAACAGAGTATCTCAGTTCAGTTCCACCCAATTTCGTGACTTGAGTCGATTTTTTAGTTGCAATTATTTCCAGGCGGCTGCCTGTCATCCGTCAGCCAAGTGTCTTGTCCATCGACTCCACTGACAACGATAAACCACCAGTACACCTCGTCCACCTGGTGCCCGTTGGTCTGAAAGCCTTCCAGTCATACTTAATCGTATTCGCAATATCTCAAAAAGTTATCAGATGCTGCCTAGTCAAACATATCTTTGCAACTCACTAGAGGTCTTAATTATGGTGTTGATGTATTGAATATGAGGTATATGTGTTGTTGGTGGAATTATTTGTTGAGGTTAGTGAGGTTAGGAAAGGTAGTTTTGTTTGAGGTAAAATTAAGAGTAGTTGAGATAAGGATGAAGTTGTATGAGTAAGGGTGATGGGGGGGGGGGTTTATTTGTGTAGGTAGGGTGAAATGGGGGGGTGGAGGAAGGTTGGAAAGGGTTAGGATAGGTGGTTATATGGATTATGGATGTGGGTTGTATGTAGTGTGGGGGGGTGGGTGGGGTGGGGGGGGGGGGGGGGGGGGGGGGGGGGGGGGGGGGGGGGGGGGGGGGGGGGGGGGGGGGGGGGGGGGGGGGGGGGGGGGGGGGGGGGGGGGGGGGGGGGGGGGGGGGGGGGTGGGGGGGGGGGGGGGGGGGGGGGGGGGGGGGGGGGGGGGGGGGGGGGGGGGGGGGGGGGGGGGGGGGGGGGGGGGGGGGGGGGGGGGGGGGGGGGGGGGGGGGGGGGGGGGGGGGGGGGGGGGGGGGGGGGGGGGGGGGGGGGGGGGGGGGGGGGGGGGGGGGGTGGGGGGGGGGGGGGGGGGGGGGGGGGGGGGGGGGGGGGGGGGGGGGGGGGGGGGGGGGGGGGGGGGGGGGGGGGGGGGGGGGGGGGGGGGGGGGGGGGGGGGGGGGGTGGGGTGTGGGGGGGGGGGGGGGTGGTGGGGGGGGGGGGTGGGGGGGGGGGGGGGGGGGGGGGGGGGGGGTGGGGGGGGGGGGGGGGGGGGGGGGGGGGGGGGGGTGGTGGGGGTTGGTGGGTGGGTGTTTAGGGGTTTTTATTGTGAAATATTTGTTTTAAGGAGGATAGGGTGTTGGAAGAATAGTTTTCCTCCGCTTATGTATTGTGAGACTTGCAGGAAAGAGAAAATTACTCACAATCACATAGCTGATTATGTACCCGAGTTTCGATCCATCGTTGAGGTGTCGACAGAATCCGGATCCGCTTGTGGTGGAGTCCACAAACGCAGACAAAATTTGTAAAAGGATGGAAGGTCAAGAAATTAGGCCAAAGGTTAACATTCCCAACAGCCAATAGGTGGATAGCTTTGAAGCAAACAAAAGAACGATGCCTTAAATTAAATTTCAGTCTTCCACGCATATTCAGTACAATTCAAACACAGCTTCATCACAGTCTTTCAAGAAAATGCTAGATAGTTGAGACACCGAAGCAAGCTTTGAGAAAGTGAGTACCGCAGAACGAATTCCTATAATGTTAGAACCTCTAAGTCTTTTTGGATCACGAGAAGTCTGACACAAGCTAGCTTTTCTATTTCGTGTTATTTTATTACTGGTCTACAGAAGGACCTCAGGGAACATGACTAAACCCTGAAAAACGACAAGCTGGCGGTTAATTTGAGTTCTCAAATTCTAGTTTAAGATTTGTCTTAACCAAGTGTTTTAACCAGACATCAAAGTAAGTCACGGCCTACGGAAACTAAAGCCACTTACCTCGCTGGTCCCGGCTTGCACCTTTGTGACATGAAGCATTAACGAGGATTTACGGTTGCAGGCACGGTTAAATGGCGTACTCCTGTTTATCAAGTCTCCAGTAGCTATAACAATGGGCGGAATGGCACCATTGACAGTTGTCACGAAGTCCCTACCGGATGTATACGTCAAGTGACTGAGTGCCACCCGTGCCCTTGTGCCCAATCGTTGCAAATCCGTGCAGTGCCAGCGAGAAAGATGCTGGCGCCAACTGTGTCACCTCAGGGTAATATAACCACCTGCTAAAGAGCTGCATATTTATAATTTTCGCTAACAACTCACAAATGCGGAAAACGAGAAAAACTGGCCCTGGAGCCATCAGTACACATGCTAGTTATATGTGCTTCCATATAACTCGACATGCTACTTGTGGTTTCCCCACACGCATAGTGTGCGAATGACGCAGGACTTTGTGCCCAATCTCGTAACACATCCCTTCCAAAAATTCAAATGCGCACCTGGCAAGTGTCGACAAGCTCGCCAGCCAACCCTTTTGTCCCTGCCTCATGAGATAGATCATGCCAATTTACTTCAGGGACGTTGAAGTCCCCCATTATCAAGCTTCTGTTCGCAGAGAGTGAAATCCTAGAATAGCTATCAGGGATCCTACATAGCAACACGCTTGTAAATTGCGTTGAATCAGTAAAAACTTCAACCGAAAGAGCATCAACAGTTCTGGCAGCTGAGTTAATAGTATAGGTTTTTAATATGTTTACACCATAACTGATGTACAGAGCGACGCAACATCCGCAGAGGGATTCACCACCCTCCTTAAGTAGTGGGTATTCAAGGGAGCCCAGATTATGTACAGTTATTAGATGATTAAGAAATGAAAACAACACTCTTTTCGGCAATTCTATCCAGGCAAATATTGTTACCAGTCGTGACGTGTCGAAGAAATATGGGGATGTAATTGATTGAGGCAAAATAGTTCATCGTTAATGCAGTCGATCCGTTCACGTTGTGGACATCATGAGATGCTCGAAAGCGTACCCACACACAGAACACGGGCACGTTTTCTGATTAGATCACAACGGTCACCTTTTGCCCTATTCACTGTCCGAGGTGAACGGTATCTTACAAATAGAGTAGAAGGAGAGCTTGTACCAGTTCTCACTACATTCAAAAGCTTGGAAGCAATTAATCTGATTCGAGTTTCCGCGGCGGTGGAGAGCAAACGTTATTTGATTGTAAACCATTTTGAATGAGCCAGCATTTCCAACATGAAGGCCATGTCGTTAGGTATGAACCTGCGAACATTCATAACTCTGCTATGCTGCAAATAGGCAGGGTAAGGCATAGAGAAACATGACTAATTTACTTAGCCACCTTTCCCACCAAAATTAATTGCTTTGAGAAGATTGCGATATATTGATGAGAATGTGGGCTGTTCCGAGAATTAATTCACACAACTGTGTTTGTACCAACTCATAATGAGACTACGCCTGGCTCTGGAGACAAGAGCTACTCAAGGTCAATTGAACAAGTAAACAATTTGTTAAACATTTGTTGCAGAAGGTTTTGTGAACAATCAGGTTATAAGTTTGACGTTTAGCCTCTAGCACATAAATGCCTTATTTAGCTAAGTATTCATAAAAGTCAGCATACATTTTGCTAGATAGAATATAAATCATTGAAAGAATGCGGTTACACTTCAGTGGGATAAAGGGTCATTCTGCTGATACAGCGGGCATATAACATCTAAGATTTATCTGTATCAGCTCATTCACAGATAAGGGGTTCTGGCAGTTGCTAATGCTAGTTCGACTTTTCATTTCAACCTGATTGCATCCGCCGACGCTCTTCACACTACCCAAATAACAGCAGCTAACCACGCGCCCGAAATACCCCACTCCGTTTCTCCTGTCCCCGCAGTTATTGTAACCCGTGACTTGAACAGCCTCAATAATTGACCAAATGCTTGTTGCATTCCTCTAATATTAACCTCCACACTGGGCCGATTTGCCTTATCTTATTGCTGAAAATTCGTTTGGCGCAAATCATCCTCATGCTCTGCTATCGTTATGTGCAGCTTAAAACAATTGCACCTTACCAAAGTCTTTAGAGCCAAGATTTTATACGCAGCTGGCCATTTGTGCACGTTTGGTATCGATATGTATTAAGGTTAGTCTGGCTGACATCCAAGATGACATAAAATTAATGGTAAGCGAAGCATTACACAGAAGATTTTGTGTAATCGGTAAGTAACACAACAGTCCACATAAGAGTAGCTTTTGGACATCAGACTTTTGAAGGCTGAAATGGATAAGCATTTGAAATTCAGAGTATTGTGAGTGGAATTAGCTAGAGCCACTTTGCGTGGAGCAATGACCGGAGTGCATTCTTTTGTGGAAAGAAGCATCGTCGGAAACCGTGTTGAGATGTGCCAATTCTATTATTTTACCAACATATCGCAGTAATCTCAACCTCAGCCGATGCAAAGCGGGGCATTTGGGAGTGGTCTTACTTCTTGCTGCAACAGGCTCTGAACCAAAATACCCCCAAGTCAAACAAAATACGAAAGTAGATAATAGGCAAAAATGAACAAAAATTGAATAGCTTAGTACAACCTATATTAGCATTTTTGGCTTTATATACTTTATCCTGATTTTCGGTGGTTTTGATTGTTGGTTTTCACAACCTTATAGCGAAATATCGCGGCATATGTAAATATATATTTTATTTACAAACCCCCAATGCACATAATCGGAAAGGCATTAAAGTATACGAACACTTCACCTTGCAGTTGGTAGTCTGCGACGACATGTAGATTCTGGATGATGTCGAGACGGCTTATACCTGCAGTCTGCTATTGTCGACTGGTTCGGTGTTGCCAGGTGACTGAAGCTTGGTGCGGCCGGTATTGACGTCTTACGAAGTAATGCTAGACAACTGAAAAGACGTAGCTCCGTCCATGAAACCCAGCTATAGGCAATCGATGATGAGTGCTTCCTGTCGACCGCCCCGGTCCATGGTGGAAAGCTCATTTCTGTGGTTTACTACTTTAAGAGTCTGATTTACGTCGACTGCAGAGGCTGTCAAGTACTGTCTACGCAGAGCAGCACTTGCAAGTGGACCTGCTAGTGGACAGTATTTCGGGTAAGTACCCCGGTGTGTACCGTAACAGTGGAGTACGTGGTGTATATCACGTATCTGTTGAGGTTATTGATCAGTATACACCTCAGAGTCGAAAATGTATCAGGCGGTGCGGGTTCTGTCAGCTGTCCAGTCAGAGAATCCATAGATTCGCTGTGCTGATTTTGTGTCGAATGTGACCTTTACACTGTTCTTTAAGTCTAGGAGGATGATGGAAAGGGGTTAGCACCATGAAAGCTCTGCGTTCCGTCGGAGTGCTACATTCCTCCGATAGTGAAATCACTCTACTATGATGTTAGCAGACGATTATTTGATTCCTCAAGGAGGTTGGGCTATACCGACTTGCACTATCTCGTTAAGCAGTGATTTTCATTCTCAAAAATAATATTACATTAATTTAGCTTGCTCAGTTTTGTTATTTTCCTGAATGTACGTGATAATTTTTTCGTGTTTCTTTTCCACCAAATGCTGTGTTGGTTGTTTGATTTCCGCAGGGTGCCGGCGCCTGATGCGAATGTTGGCTAGGTTTCGACCTGTCTAACAAACTTCACCTCCATTAATGGCTCATTCAGGGTGCCATTCTTTGCTGGAGTTTGTGTTCATGGTGTTCGTAGTCTTGCTAGGCTCAAAGAGTGGTTCCATCCAGAGTGCAGTGGGCGACAGCCCAGGTACCACCTTGTGTACGTCTGGTACTCGGATTCTCCACATAGATAGGCAAGAATGCTGCGACTGTGCATTTTGAACGCTTGTGAACCGCCTCCGTTGATTAAACGTGTCTCCCATCCACAAGTCTCCCAATCGTTTTCATTTGGCTTTGCACTGTACATGGGATGCGTGGATGGAGTTGTGGCTATTTCAGCGCAAGCCACCCATTGTCTCCCTGTTGGCGCAAACGTCCTGCGGTTGTCCATACGGATGACTCAGTGGTAAGCAAATCCGAAATCGGATGTCCCCAACCACTGTTTTAAGTGCCACATTATCAGGCAGTCAGCATGGTGTGGAATGTGATATCAGGTATATAGTTTACGGCCTGATGTGGTATTGAATCCGACGTAGCAGATATGGCAGATGCAGTCTTTGAGTGGAGTTCGACGAAGGTGACATGGAGGAGGCCACAATACAGGGCATGGCAAAATCCAATATAAATCAGTGGTCAGATAGGCGGACTAGCAACAGGTACATATTT